GCTATTTTCCTAACAAAAATTGTCCACGTTAAGAACTATACGTTTTTTGGGTTCTAATAAAATAAACATTACATTTTTCCTCCACTACAGGAGGAAAAAAACTGCCACACAGTAATTTTCAGGGAGTGAAATAACTCCTCTAGTGGGGCTAATTTAACTCCTTATAGTGGAGTTATTGTTTGGGGAGTTATTTTAACTTCAAAAAGGAGTTTAAAGAACTCTTTTTCAGGAGTAAAAGTGACCCCAGATATTGAGGAGTTAAAATAACCCCAAAAAAGGAGTTATCCTGTACCTAAATGTTTTACTCCACTTTCAGAGTTAAATTAACTCCAAAAAGAGTTAAAGCAACCCATGTAAGGAGTAAAATTAACCCCATTTCGGAGTGATTTTAACTCCAGACTGGGAGTAAAACTTAAATAACTCTTTTTCAGGAGTAAAAATGACCCCAAATTCGGAGTTAAATTAGGAGTTAAAATAACCCCAGGGTTAGAGGGTTATCCTGTACCTAAAATTTTTACTCCAATTTTGGCGTTATAATAACTCCTTAAAAGTTACGGTGCAGCTAGCCACAATCCGTGACATTAGGGGTGTGTTCCTTTGAGAAGATCCGGATCAGGGTCAGTGATCAGAGATCACTTGGATCGATCATAGGAGATCAAATGAACCGATAGCCTGTGAGCAATCTCTCCTATTTGGGCGAGTGAAGCGAGTCTCGCGAGAACGCGCGAGCGAGCGGCGAAGCCGCGAGAGGNAGATATTGAGGAGTTAAAATAACCCCAAAAAAGGAGTTATCCTGTACCTAAATGTTTTACTCCACTTTCAGAGTTAAATTAACTCCAAAAAGAGTTAAAGCAACCCATGTAAGGAGTAAAATTAACCCCATTTCGGAGTGATTTTAACTCCAGACTGGGAGTAAAACTTAAATAACTCTTTTTCAGGAGTAAAAATGACCCCAAATTCGGAGTTAAATTAGGAGTTAAAATAACCCCAGGGTTAGAGGGTTATCCTGTACCTAAAATTTTTACTCCAATTTTGGCGTTATAATAACTCCTTAAAAGTTACGGTGCAGCTAGCCACAATCCGTGACATTAGGGGTGTGTTCCTTTGAGAAGATCCGGATCAGGGTCAGTGATCAGAGATCACTTGGATCGATCATAGGAGATCAAATGAACCGATAGCCTGTGAGCAATCTCTCCTATTTGGGCGAGTGAAGCGAGTCTCGCGAGAACGCGCGAGCGAGCGGCGAAGCCGCGAGAGGCCGAGGAACTCCTTTCCTCGGCCCCTCGCTCGCGCGTTCTCGCGAGGCACACTTCGCTTGCCCAAATAGGAGAGCTTGCTCGCAGGCTACTGAACTGATGAATCCTTGTCCAAAGTGAATTCATCGGTTCATTGATCTACCATGATCCGAGTGACCTCGGATCACTGATCCTGATCCGGATCTTCTCAAAGGAACACACCCCTAATGTCACGGATTGAGGCTAGCGGGCTGTTTTTTTCCTCCTTCCCCACATGGCTCATGGACAAATGTTTCTTCCTTATTAGGACTCATAGAACAGCTGGGTCGATGGAAGTGAGACGTCTATCTCGCCTGGAGCTATACCATGCTGATGAATCCTAATTAGGACAAAACAACTGTCCATATCTGCCACTGCCAGGGTGATATGGTTGTGCGCATGCGTAAGGAACTGGCCATACTGCGGGGTTGGTACGTGTGCTTCAGTGCTGAAATTGGTATTGTCCTTAAGAATTAATCACCTCCTCATTTCTTATCGAATCAATCTAACCAAGTAATCTCGACTTAACGCCGTTAGAGCGTCTTGTTTTAGATATAGAATCTTAATCCATTCAGACCGGGCTTGCTACGGCTTCCTGTGACTGGGGCGGGGAGGCGCCCCACATTTACACAATGACGTAATGTGACGAAATGGAAACTTTGATGTTGACGTACGCGTCTCGACAGTTTTAAAATTTGTTAATTCTTAGGAAAATCGCTTTAGTTTGGTAGCAATGGCTTGAAACTTGATGCTCTATTTAAGGTCCAAACCCGATATATGACACCATATTAAAGGGGAAAACAAACACTAATTAACACATAGAGACCTTTATTAATTGTAAACCTAATACTCAAAGCAATACTTTAGTTTAAACTGATAATTTGTTTCTCGTGTAGCTAGACATTTTCGCATTTGAACTTTTGATGATGCAATTTAGGTACTCTTTCTAAGGATCACACCAGGAACGCAATGCCATTATATATCGTTTTTGACAGAAAAGGATCCTCTTTCGCATCTTTTATCGACAAATGGTGCCCCTTTCACATACCTTGTTAGTATAGATAATAGCATGATTTGTAGTGATATTTGGCATAAATACCACGAGTGATATTTCAAAATTGTTATACGTAATTTCACGAGCTGTTAGGAGAATGAAATTTGAGACAATTTTGAAATATCACGAGTGGTACTTATGCCAAATATCACTACAAATCAGGCTATTATTTCTTTATACTACTACTTGCAAAAGGTTTGTAATTTTCACATGTAGGTATTTCAAATTAAGCTGAAATACCACTGCTCTAAACCAATCAAATTGCAGAAATTTCTCATGTAGTAGTATAAAGAACGTTACATCCCTTTTAACTATTGTAAATGTACCATCTTTTAAATATAAATAAATCACACCAAACCAGGAAGTTTTCCTGTGGTTTTCACAGCCATAAAATTCTTTCTTATACTTCACCCTACCCTTTCATATCCCTGAAGCCTGAAAAAGGTACTCCGTCTGGGCGGAGCCTCACCATGAAGGCCATGATAGGGAGTACCCCCAGGCACATACCTGAATAGCCCAAATATGAAATTCTGTGTTTACAGGTGAGAGCCTCTCATTATCCAAGGTATTGCCTCCAAGTTTCATATTTTCATGCACAACAATAGCTAGCATTTTTGCATATTTTAAATGCATTGTTAGTTACTGCTGTTCACGTGAAAATGAAACTTGGAGACAATACCCTGAATAGTGAGAGGCTCTCAATTGTAAACACAAAATTTCTGACAAAATATTAGCGAATTGTAGCCCTTATTTTACTACCCTACAATACATCAATACTCTTGAAACTAAAAGGTTACAAAAAAGGAAGGTTAATCTTAAGAATATTAAATTTTTAAAAAAATCTGTCAAGCGGTTTAAAAATTATTCGCTAATTTGTTAAAGAAGACCAAAATGTTTACAAAACCGCTAACAAGAGCGCTTCGATACATACTAATCAAGCAATCGGCTGGAGTTATCTCCACGATCTGTCACACACGTATTTAAAAAGATTGAAACTACTATGAGGTGAAATTGCATGTCAAAAGCTTTTCGTTTTCTCAGAAAACAGCCGAACATTAAGATTGTCCATTTTTGTTACCGTATTCCTAACCATGAAAACTTTATCCCAAAATATCTCGATAACCGTTTCACAGATTTCGTTTAAACTTCGCGAACATCGAGGCGTCTATTGGAGGAAAAAGCTCCCGTGAACGATTTTGGAAGAACAGTTCCCAGTGTCGAGACATACTGCTGCAAGTAAGATAGGTAGTAGCGTCATTTCGTTGCTATGCCAGCTTCAATGTGGTTGCAAACCTGATCGTAACAAATATTCATCATTTTCTAATACAACTGTGGTGGTAATTTTTCCAAATCTTTGTTTATGGCGACGTAGTTTATGCTCAAACTTGGGACGTAGTGACCCTGGACAAACTGTATCGAGCCACCTTAAGAAACATTGCTTTTTCTCAACGGAATCGATAAAACTTCGTTGTAACTTGTTTATTTGTAGTTTTTTATTCATTTTGCTTGTTTTCTTTTCTTCGAAAATTTCTAGATCTATCGACGGAAGAGAAAAATATAACCGTTGCGTTGGCTAAAAAAAAGTCTGACTTAAGAGGTTGCTTGTTCAGTATTGAAAAGCGCATGCAGCTTAAGGGCCCTAATTTTAAAATATTTCATTTAGCATTTTTTTTTACAACGCCCAGCAGCAACTAGGCTGGGTGTTGTTCAGTTCCTGTTTAAGTATTGGGAGCAACGAATGGAAAAAGTTTTTTCTCATTAACCTTTACTCAGTTATTTTTTATCTTTTCAGTTAATGAGGTAAACTTTTAACCGATGAATGTCATGAATGATTCAGTAATGAGGGGAAGTGTTTCTTTCTCTCTTTATTTTCTTTGCTGCATGGGACAGTGCTATTTTCTCCTAATCATCAAATTCTCCCTACTTAGAGGACTATAAATTGAAAGATAAATAAATCAATTTGATAATTTTGTCAAAGTGACTTTTTTTATAATTATCCATTTTAAATTTAGTGATTGTCTTTTGGGATGAAATTAATATTTACTATGGGAAATTGAATGATATTTCGTCCTTTTTAAACGAATTTCAGGTGTCTGCATTGTGAGGAAAAGAGCCATTTAATATCCTGGGAAAACTATTTAGGTACACATATGACTAAGAAAAAATTGGAAGACAGAATACTCTTTAATCAATAAGTGTGAATTAAATCTTAAAAGATTTAGTCCCGTTAATTAGTGTTTTGGGGGCAGAAAAAAAAAACAAACATTTCTTCTAAATCTGTAATTTTCAATTACTGGAGACAGTTCGCGGGTTTGTATCTATAAATATTTAAAGACGTTCAACCTCTCATGCATGTATTCAGACCACTGATGCAGAAGTTATTGGAATCATTACGATAGAAATTAACATATTTTTTAACCAAGGAACCATTTCACAGGCCAACCCCCAGTTTACGAATGTAGGGCGATTGTTTCATACTGAACAATATTCCCGGAACCAACTTGAAATAAACTTTAAAAAACGTGATAACAATAAAAGAATCGACCGAAATTGCTAGTTGCTTCTTATGAAAGCTAGCTACCGTATTAAGAGAGGTCATTTATGGGCAGACAAGAAAGAAGGAAGGTCAGCTCAAAGCAGTTTAGACACAACCGAGATAAAACTGGACAGAGATGAATTCGAGTCTACCAGGCAAAGAGATCATCGCCTATGGATGCCCGTTCTATGAGGCTATGGGGGAAAGACTTCATCGACCTTCGACTCTAACCCAAGCTTTCCTCATTATCATCACTGTCGTTCACATTCTTACATTTCCTCTCACCGCTGCCTTGAACGCGCTTGTTATGTTCGCCGTTAAAATGAATTCTCGGCTGAGAGCCCACAAGTCCAACATTGGACTCGCCTTACTAGCTTTGACAGACTTCTTTGTTGGGGTCCTTGCGCAGCCTGCCTTCATCGCCTTGATTATAACACTCTTAGTTGATGATTCCAGTAGGTCGTGCACATTGCCGAATTTCACAATTGCCGTGTCAAGAATTGGCGTCTCCGTCTCCTTAGTTCACACGGTTTTAATAAGCGGCGAACGGTATCTAGCCGTCAGACACTCGCTCGCGTGCGTTTCCCTCGTCACCGAAGTTCGTTTACTTGTTGCCTCTGTCTTGGCGTGGCTGCTATCCATAACTTTGCACATTCCTCTCTCCGTTAACGAATCTGTATTTTTGCCCATAAAGAATACACTCTATGGTCTATGCGTCGTCTTAATCATCTTCTGCCACGTTACGGTTTACCTGGAAATTCGCCGACACCAAAAGCAAATTGCAGCTCAGCAAGTGACAGAGGAAGCAAGGGAACAATTTCAAAAAGATAAAAAGGCTTTCAAAGTGACATTTATCGTCATTGTAGTGCTGATGTTGTGTTCTTTTCCCATAGTTATCTTTACAGAAGTCCTTAGAAGATATCGAGGAAAATTATCTTTGGGGGTATTTTATATATCTTTCTTTTCGGCCACATTGATGGCGTCCTTGAACTCTTTCTTCAATCCTCTTATTTATACTTTCAGACTAAGAGAGTTTCGCGTAGCTTTAATCGGCCTAATTTGTAGAACCGTGAACATTGCCGAAGCTGAACAGATTGAGATGAAAATATTTGGCGCACCAAACGCTGTGGCCAGAATTGAAGTAGGACAAGGACACCAAGGACAAGCTCAACGGAACGCTGAACAAGCCGGTCTAAGGATTACGAACAACAATAATGTTAACAATGATGTTTTGTCATAGAAACACGAGTATCGAGTCAGTCTATGGTTTACGAACTTTGCAATTATTGTCAGACATCATGGCTTTAGGCACTGGAATTTTTTGTAATTATCATTTTCTTGAAGGAGAATGTTTGGAGGAATACTAGCTCCAGATTGTTGCATAATACATTTAAATAAAGTTTCATTGGAAACAGCTCTTCCTTGTCTCTTTCAGGTCGTTTCATGCACCTCGTAATTAGAAATACAGTAAAAACCCGAGAGTAAGAACCTGTTAGCCTAAAACTTGCCATTTATACCCTCTATAAACAAGAACCTGTTTAGCCTAGAAAATGAAAAACAGGTTCTTATTTTTTAAAATCATATCAGTGAAATGCAGCTGCAAAGCTGTGCAAGAATCCTGTTTGGAGAATTAGGAGCTTGGCATTGCTGTGCAAATAAAGATGCTAATTTATTGATGTAATGAAAAAATAAAGTGCAAGAGGTTAATATTGTTGTATCGCATTTTAAAATTGAAATGTAGGCCTGTTACCATCTTGTTTTGTAGCTTGTTTTTTTGTGTGTATTTTTTTTTACAGAAATAAGAACCTATCTAAGAACCTAAATAGCCTAAAATTGTAATATAAAATAAGAACCTGTTCAGGCTAACTCCAGAAAATGTAGGTTCTTACTCGCGGGTTTTCACTGTACGTGTATCGCATTACTTGTATCACTTGGGGGAGGGTGGCTGTAAAATGTTAGAGATGGGAGGGTGGGAGAAAAACAGAGTAAATTGTGTAACTGAGGAGGGTGGGTTTTAAAACTTCGTCCCATGTAAGCTAATGCTATTTGCAAGCAATACTTTTTTTTTAGAATATTTGTGGAGAACTGTTCTATTTCCAAGGTGTCACATTAAGGAAGAATCACTTTAGAGGACATGGGTCCTTGCGTAAATACTTGCCTGCGTGGTAGGCGAAAAAAGGGGAGGGGGAGGGGGAGGGGGAGGGAGAAAAGCGCAAAAGAGGGGAAAAGGGAATCCCCCTCCTTTTTCCTCCCTATCCCCAACCTCTTTCGACGCATGCTACGCAGGCTATGTAAATACAAGAGATAATGAGCTCATTCTCTCTTAATAAATATGAATCCGGCTCAACAATTTTATCCTTCCTTGGGCTTACTTTCGTAGAATGTGGGCTCGTTCTTAAAATGCAAATCTATCAGTAAGTAAAGAGCGTCTCTATCATCATCATTATTATTATCATTATTATTATTACTATTATTATTATTTGCCATTTCTGATTGGCTTTACATCATCAATGACAGTCAAACCAACAAACCGTGAACACTGGAGAAATTTCGGGAATGATTATCGTGCTCCTGGTTATGACCAATCAGTGCAAAGATAGGGACATGTGAGCTAGCCACAAAACCACAAATTAATTAATCTTGTTGCTTGCAGTTTTCTCACGTCTGATTGGCTTTTTTCTTGCTACACAAAATATTTCTGGTGTTCAAAGTTTTGCTGGTTTGACAGAAAACCCTTGGCTAATTCTCTATAAGTAGCTGGCTCTGATCAAATTTCCAGTGCGCTCATAGCTGCACGGAGCTTCCACTAATTTTCGCAGAGAAAGCAGTCTAAAGTGTCAGAAGTGTAGTTCTTAATAACGCCGTGACACAGGCCTTCGAAGAAGCAAACTTCTGTATTTTATGGAGTATTTTTCTCCATCACTTGCAATTGAATCAAGCCGAGTTCGGCCGTTATGAAATACATTAAATTATTTTAGAGTTCAGATTGCGCCAGATTGTATCCTAGAGTACTAAAATTTTCAAATTTTCCCGGGGGAGCATGCCCACGGACTCCCCTAGTTTCTCGTGCCTTCGGCACTCGTCATTGGTGCTATCGCACCAATATTAATCATATTCTCAGTTATGCTCCACCAAGGAAATTTCCCGGCGCCGCCCCTGAAATGAATGAGATCACATGCCGCGCGTGACATCTGTTCGGGTGGGTCTGCCTGTGCAGGTATGATCGAGATTGAGTGTAACAGTGAAAAGTACTTATGTAAGCCTGGCTATGATGATGAGTTGAAAGATGATATACAGCAGACACTTTTTGTAAGCTCAGGTACAATTATTAGAATACTCCTCTGGTCTGTGATTACTACTAATTAGACTACTTGCCACAATAATGACGTACCCAGTTATCTAGTAGTTTTGGTAACGGATCAGAACATTTTCCACTTACAAAAACCACCAATGATTAAACCACCAAATTAAACAAACCAGTGCTCGACCCAGGGAAGGGGCCCGGGGGGGCTGGCCCCCCTTACTTTTAGACCAAACTGAGGCCCGAAGGGCCGAAAAAAAATGTTTTTTTTGAGACCGCTCCCCGCCTCATCTCAGGGTCTGGATGACTCCCCCCCCCCCCCCCTCCCCCTTATCTGAATGTCTGGATCTCCACTGAAAACTACATACAGCTTTTAGGGTCCACTGTGTCACGGCAGTTTACATTAACACAAAGTCTGAATGCAATTAAAGGGACAGAAAAGTTGCTCTTAGTCCTTGTCAGCGTGACGAAAATCTCGGATAAAGCACACAGTTTCAAAAGCAGCCAGATTCGTCACAGGATTCTCGTCCTTCTAAAAGTTGAGAAATATTTTGAGGGCTCATTTGATAGCCGTAAGCATGTTCAACCCCTTCCCCCCACGTCTCCTCAGAGGGATTGAAATATGGAGTAGTCTCTAGGGGCACTCTAGCGAGAAATAAGTCCAAAGAAAAGAACCTAAAAAAAAAAGAGAAATCCCGGCCCCAGACCAGACCAATGCAGCCTCCAAAAAAGTAGGGGGCTTTCCGTCTTGGTCGGTACAGCTGGATAACCCAGGGACTACCCTAACAGTGGGGGTGGATCAGGCCTTGGGGGCAAAACAAGTGGGTTAGGGAGAGCGCTATTTTGACACAACCCCTTCAGTAAGCAGCAGTGTTCACTAGAGGCTTTAGCTAGCAAGTGCCTTGTTCTTACTTTGCCCTAGCCAGCTGAATCAGGCCTCTGCTGAGAATAATTATCATAATAATTGCAGGGGTCAGTGGGAGGCGCAGAAAGTCACCCATTGTCCTGGGTGGGGAGGGACAAAGTCTTGGTACCAAGGACATACTTAGCATACGACCTGTAGACACTCACTGAAGCCATGTTTACATAAATTCAGTCAGAGATATATATGTATAATTACTTTGCACCAAGTTAATAACATTTATGTGTATTATCAATGAATTTGATAGGCCTCTTTCCTGACATTTCACATTTCCATTCAGCTAGTTTAGCTTTTTCAGGGTGTCCAACTACTGAGAAGTACCTATTGTTCTTAATTATCATTTATTGTAAATTATTTTAGTCTGCAGTAGAAATAAACTTGTTGTTGTTTCCGCGGATCAGTAACGAAACAACAACAACAACAACAACAAAAAACAGTGCGACGATCACTTTAACCGGCATATTTCTGGTGAGACGTGCGCGTTGCAAGCTTTCACAAGAGCCTTGTGAAGAGTTGTTATCTCTGCCTCTTTAATTCACATGGCTTTGATAAGCGGGGAGCGGTACCTAGCCATGAGACATTCTTTTGTCCACTTTACCCTCGTAACTGAAGCTCGTTTACTTGTTGCTTCTGTGTTGGCGTGGCAATTTTCCATGATTCTTTACATCAATCTTGCCGTGAACGATCGCGAATCTGTATTTTTGTGCATTAATAATGCATTCTATGGTCTATGCCTCGCCTTCATCATCTTCTGTCATGTTACAGTTTACCGGGAGATCCGCCGACAGGAAGGGCACATGGCAGCCTAGCAAGTGACCGTCGAAGCAAGGGAGCAATTTCAAAAAGATAAAAAGGCTTTCAAAGTGACATTTATCATCATTATAGTGATGATGTTGTGTTATGTTCCGCTACTAATCTTTAGTGCTGTCTTAGAAAGGTTTCGAAGTAAAATGTCTTTGGAAATGTTATATATATACTTATTTACGAGGACACTGATGGTGCTCTTGAACTCTTTTTTCAATCCCATTATTTACTCATTATTTTAGACTAAGAGGGTTGCGCGTAGCGTTCATTGAGTTAATTTGTAAAACTGCGAACACTGCCGAGGCTGAACAGAGAGAGATGAAGATATTTGGAACACCAAACGCTGTGGTCAGAATTGAGGCAGGACAAGAAAACGAAGGACAAGCTCGACAAAACGTGAACAATCAAATATAGGAACAACAATTTATGATCGAAACGCACCAATTACTGATTACGAGTCCTCATAGCCAATAACGTCACGGCTTAACTGACAGACGACCAATAGCATCGCGACGTAATTGGCCAATCAGATCAATAACCAAAGTATAATACCATCAACTGACGTGATACAACTCACTTTGACACTGAAGATGACTACCGCACAGGTTGTCGAAACGTAAGTCACTGTCAACAACAACAGTCCTATTCAGGACTACGTTCACCCGGACGATCAAACTCAACCTACTTTTGAAATGACTCCTGGGTTTAAACCTTTTACAATTAATGATAGTGTTAATAAGAATCAAAAAAATATTATGATGTTATGCAATAGCATAGGAATCGAGTTAATCGATTAATAAACACGTGAATTCTGTTCACACTTTCTTTTTGTTTTTCTGCCATTGAGGGCCAGTAAGAAATTACTAACATGGTTTTTCTCATTGTATTGTTGCTTCCACCCACCCCCCCCCCCCCCCCCCCCCCAGCCAACACGCCAGGCTAAATTCTATATTACTCTTTGTTCTTACATTGCTGCTCAAACGGAGAGCTTCGTTTCTACCCTCCACCAGATCACGAGCTGGTGGCGCGTGTACACAAAAACCGGACAGATGTTT